ATGCCAAACTGTTTTCAAAATATCACAGTGAGGAGATGGCTATTCAACTGGCAGAGACCCTCTGCTCTGATGTTTCTAAGCAGACATAGTCCATATGACTAGATTTTGTGAGTCTACTTGAAATCTTGGTTATTATAGTTTATAAATGGATACAGCCATTTGGAAACCTGACTTAAAATGAAAATCTAGACATTTGTCTCAAAAGGAGAGTTAGATTTCAACATATAGGCTCCTTGCTTTTAATATTGAGTAGGGCATAAGCCTTTAACTTTCCTTTCCTCATCTCCTACCCCCAATCACTTCCAAGAATACCTCTGTAGAGTTTTCATCTGTCTTTGTGTACTCCATTCCTGTAAATTCCTTCTCCATATTTTTGCTATTTCATTTACTTTGGAAAATGGCAGTGTGGAATATGTTTGGTATAACCTTATCTTAATCCTGGCCAGCATCTCTGATCCCCTCCACCAGAAAAAGTATACACACACACACACACACACACACACACACACACACACACACACAATTATATATATGTTATATATATACATATATACCGTACGTGCATGTGTGTGTGTCTTTTCTAGGGTTAAAAATACAGAAGTAGGCCGGGCACAGTGGCTCATGCCTTTAATCCCAGCACTTTGGAAGGCCAGGTGGATCACCTGAGGTTGGGAGTTTGAGACCAACCTGATCAATGTGGAGAAATCCTGTCTCTACTAAAAATACAAAATTAACCGGGCATCGTGGCGGGCTCTTGTAATCCCAGCTACCCGGGAGGCTCAGGCAGGAGAATTGCTTGAACCCAGGAGGCAGAGGTTGTGGTGAGCCAAGTTCGTGTCATTGCATTCCAGCCTGGGCAACAAGAGCAAAACTCCATCTCAAAAAAAAAAAAAAAACAAAAAAAAAACAGAAGTAAAAACCTTAAACAGAATAGAAAACAAACCTCCTTTATTATCCAGGTTCCCTGCATATTTCCAGTTGTTTAGAAAATGTTTCTCCTGTTGTTCCTGTTAAATATTTCTCATATTTTGGCATCACACACAAAAATATGTTGCCAGAGGTTTGTGTGTATGTGTGTACATATGTGTGGTAGAGGTGAGGGAGAGACTTGGTCCAATATCATGGTGTGCAGTGGTGAAGAACCTACTAAATTAATTAATCTTCACATTAGCAGATCACTGAGAATATGAATCACTCACAGGCAGTCAAAAGGTGATGTCAGTGAACGGTGATGGCACAGCATGACTGCTCCTGTTTGATACTGCATTTAGGTCTAGCACTACTGCTATTGCAAGGTTCTCCTATGAATTTTATTATGGAATTTCAGAAATTTCTACTGCTGCCTGGGTACAGTGGCTCATGCCTATAATCCCAGCACTTTGGGAGGCCAAGTTGGGAGGATCGCTTGAGCCCAGGAATTCAGACCAGCCTGGGCAGCATGGCAAAACCCTGTCTCTATGAAAAAATTTTTAAAAATTTGTTTGGCATGGTGGCGTATGCCTGTAGTCCCAGCTGCTAGAGAGGCTTAGGCGGGAAAACCACCTGAGTCCAGGGAGGTCGAGGCTGCAGTAAGCCATGGTTGCGCCAGTGCACTCCAGGCTGAGCAGCAGAGTGAGACACTGTCTCAATAAATAGACAAATAAAATAAAATTCTGCTGTCAAATAGTAGCTAAATGTAATTTTTTTCCCCAAAACGGTGTCTTGCTCTGGCGTGCAGTGGCACAATCTTGGCTTACTGCAACCTCTGCCTCCCAGGTTCACGGAATTCTCCTGCCTCAGCCTCCCAAGTAGCTGGAACTATAGGTGCCCACCACCACGCCCAGCTAATTTTTGTATTTTTAATAGAGGCGATGCTTCATCATGTTGACCAAGCTGATCTCGAACTCCTGACCTCAGGTCATCTGCCCACCTTGGCCTCTCAAAGTGCTGGGATTACAGGCGTGAGCCACAGTGCCCAGTGCTAAATGTAATTTCTATAGCATTAATAAGTATTCCAGGAAGTAGTTAAATTAAGGAACAAGGTACTTAATAAAGTTTTAAAATATGGCTTTGGAATGGTTATTATTAGCAATAGTCATACTGTTAATTTCTAGTTGAAAGAATAACAGGCTCACAAAAATTTCTAAGCCTTAGGAGAAGACCAATTTTGGTGGAAATTGGGTCAGAAGAACATGTGCAATTCAAGGATTGCTTAAGATAAACAGCTGCATAGAGTAAAGCTGCTTTATCATGAAAGGTGAGTAGGGTAGAGACTGTGTGGTCTTGTAGTACAGCTCTTGGTTAAGCTTATAAAATGGTTGTTGTTGACCCTCTCTACAATTAGCGACAAATTGTACTAATAACGATGAACTCCTAAAAACCCTCAGTAGCCAATCAGGTTGCAAACTTCCTTCACCTTGAAGCTTTCTCCTAGAGAATATTTTCCTTCTGAAGGCTATGTGGTACCTCCACTCTCCTATGATTCCATGTTGGAAACACTGGCTACTACTTCACAAAGAACTGGAGGGTAGGTGTGGTGGAGTCAACTGGAATCCCTCTTTTCTAAACACTTTGGACTTCCAACTTTATCTGGGCTAAAGGGGCCACAAACTCTGGTTTTCTGTTCGACAGAGTATCTATATTTTTAAGTAGCTGTGAGCAATTAGGAGAAAAATACTTAAATGAGCTTTTCTGTTTTGTTCTGAAGTAGAAAGGAACCAGTAAAAATGTGTAATCTGCATCCTGCTCTTGGTGTCTGGGGCAAAAATAGTGCCTAGTGTTGCATAGCACTGTGTGCTCTTGAGTGTAGTTTGTGGATGAGTTCTTTTAATGAATACACATTGTTGCAGAGAGGTGTGTGTATTTCTATGCTGTTTTTATTTATTTTTATTTTTGGAGACGGAGTCTCACTCTGTTATCCAGGCTGGAGTGCAGTGGTGCAATCTCAACTCTCTGCAACCTCCGCCTCCAAGTTCAAATGATTTTCTCCTTTCTCAGCCTCCTTAGTAGCTGGGATTACAGGCACCTGCCACCATGCCCAGTTAATTTTTATTTTTTAGTAGAGACGGGGTTTCAGTGTGTTGGCCAGGCTGATCTCTAACTTCTGACCCCAAGTGATCTGCCTGCCTTGGCCTCCCGTGCTGTTTTATGTTGTTGTTGTTGTTTTTGAGATGGAGTTTCACTCTTGTTGCTCAGGCTGGAGTGCAATGGCGTGGTCTTGGCTCATCACAACACAACCTCCGCCTCCCAGGTCCAAGCTGCCTCAGCCTCCCGAATAGTGGGATTACAGACATGTGCCAGCATGCCCGGTTAATTTTTGTATTTTTAGTAGAGACGGGGTTTCTCTATGTTGGTCAGGGTGGTCTCGAACTCCCAATCTCAGGTGATCCGCCCACCTTGGCCTCCCAAAGTGCTGGGATTATAGGCATGAGCCACTGCCCAGCCTCATGCTGTTTTTAAATGACTTGTTGGATAGGCTTGATGAACTGTGCTGGATGATTTCCTCCACTGTCTCCTGTTCTGTCCCTCCCACAACAAGACTGGAAGAACAACAGCACACTTCTATATAGGTCTCTAGTAGTCTCGTTGGAGGGGTAGGCCAGTAAGAACCAACCTGCTGGTCCATATCCCCAACCCCTCTGGTGACTACTGAATCCAGTTTCAATATTGTTAAATTTCAGGGAAGAAAGTGATAATGTGGAAAAGTGCCAAAACTCAGTCTAATTTTTCCTGGCAGCTTTCCCTTGGTGTCATTGGTAAGTTCTGCATTTCACTGGTGTCATTGGTAAGTTCTGCATTTCACTGGAGTGAGTGCCACACTGCTACTATGACTATAATAGTCACTCCCATGCCTGACTTTTTTGTTTGGTTCATTTTATCTTTGGGAATAGGCATTTTCTGTGGGGATAGGTGGGTTTAAACCCTATTAAAACTGGTCAGAATGTTTTTCATTAGGGGCCACTCAATTCCTGTCTTATATCTAATAGATTTGTTTGGATTTTCTTTGATTCTTATACAAAAACAACCCAGTAACATCATGCTGGAAGATTCTCTTGAGGTGGTTGTGTTGCAGAGAACAGACAGCACATTTGCTTTTTTAGCCACCTATCCTATTTCATAGGACTGCATGCCTGCCTCTCTCCATTTTGTCTGTGCTTACAGTTTTTCCTTCTCTTTCCAACACTTTGACAGAACTTGTGTTGGAACAAAAGACTCCATTCCAGATCCATTCCAGAGTTGCTGTGAGAAACTTACCCACTGACTTTTTCCTAACTCAGTAAAATGGCAGTGTCAGAAAGCTTTATGCAGGCAAGGGCTGAAAGAAATCTCCACCTAGAATTGAGTGTTTGATTTTTCCTTCTGATTTTCTTGTCAACTCTCAAAAACTTCCCTTATAATCATTTTATATGTGTGAAATTTTCCTAGGTTGGTTTTAAAGAAGAAACAAAACAAAAGCACCTACATTGGTTTAATATGGGAAGTCAAAGATAACAGGCTTTTCCTGTGCCTGGGCAATAGCCTTCTGTGTTGATTGGTGACCTTACCTTTCCTTGGTAATATTTTTGGTGCTTAGCCTTCCAGATCTAAAAACAGCTTAGTGCAATAAGTACTAAGTATAAAATTGTTAAGTTTCTCTTTTGATTGACTATGAAGTGGCTATCAAGCTTCTTTAAGTAGGTTTTTCCATACAGTATTTTTTGTATCAGTTGGTGAATACAAATCTTCAATGAGATCAGCAGAAATAAGAAATCCAAATTTCTGATCTGTCCAGCGGTTTTATAAAACCTCAGTCCTGTTTTTTGTTTTTGTTTTGTGTTGTTTTAATATTATTATTGGTAGTTTTACTCAGTCTTTTCCACAAAAATAAGCTCATTGGTCAACAAGCTCACCAGTGAGACTGGTGAGTGAGGCTGTACTTAGGAAAATATGAAAGCTTTGGTATCTTTTCCTCATATTAAACTGGCCCTGGCTGTTTTGTTTTGTTTGAAACCTGCCACAAGCCAGACCAGCCTGGCCTTTTGCTTATTTTATTTTTTATTTTAGTTTTGGGGGATGTGGTGGTGAGGGTAATTCTTATTTTATATTGGGACAAAATAAGCTGGTTGACTTATGCCTGAGGCTTTTTTTTTTCACAGCTGCTTTGGGGAAAAAAAAAGTCTCATTCAGAAATTAACATTTCTCAAACTGTGTTCCTTATTATTCTGAAATATAAATGCCCCAAAATTGCTTAAGAGTTTGAGATGAGTGGGGAAAGGATCTAAGAAAAGCACTTATTGTGTGCCCAGCAAATTTGAGGCCTCCTGGTTTGCTCCTTTGGGATTCTAGGTTCTTGGCAGGCACAGTTTTACCGCGAAGAGCTATTGAATGCCATTCGAGTTCAATCCATTTTTCTTAGTCGAGATCCAGTTCGTATTTTACAGCTCCCGTCTGGGAGCCGGTAACTTAATGAATTGCCTTGACTCTTGCTTCAATCCACTTTCCTCGCTTAATATGCAGCCCAAAGTTTTGCAGCTCGCTGTCAGATGGTAGTGCTAGACTTTCACACCGATCCCAAAGCCTCCGCTGGGGCTGTTTCTTAACACGGAGTTACAAACTTTAAGAAACAGACAGTTCCAGACGGAAATCCACGCCAGGCTTTGAACTCTGCTTCTGGCTTCCGTCAACTGACACAGTTGCCCTTTTGCTCAAACTCGCAGCTCCAGTTCGCACTCGAGAGAGCTCTGCTGGGTGTCTGCTGCTGTGCCACGGCGGGAACGTGTGGGGGCAACAACCTGGCACTCCAACGATTCTCCACGCCTTTAGTTAGAAACCTAAGCAAACCCTCACTAGGGTCCCTGGGCTTCAAACGATTTCTCCCACAAGGATTGGGTGGAGGAAGGAGCCGAGCCTGATCTTCTGTTTGTTTGTTGAGTTTTGTATTTCAGACATTTGGGGGAAACAAATTGCGAGAGAGGAAGGGCTGTCTTCCATGCAAACGTTTCCCTCTCCTAGCAAACCCTCCAGGCCTCAGTTCCACATTTTGCAGTTCACTGTGTGGATTTTAATAGGTTGTTCCCTTATCCTCGGGCCCAATCCATGCACACTGTGCAGCCGGATAAAATGGGAGCACATCCTCTGCCATTTTCAGCCGGTTTGTCCTGGCAGCCCTCCCCCACTTCCTTGGCTGCTCTGCCGCTGGAGTTAATGCGCCCAGAAACTCCGCCTGATCCTCCAGGCCGCGCAGCTCCAGTCCGCGTTTGCTAAGTGCCATACAGTCGGGGACGGCGATAAGAACTCTCCTCTGAGGGAGAGCTAGCGAGACTTTAGTCCGGTTTCCATGTCAACGATTCAGTCCATATTTGCCATCAGGCTGCTGGCCGTGGCGCTTTCGCGAGGGTAGCGCTGTCCTAGTCCTAGTTCTCCAATCTGCGCCGGGATTCCTGAGCTGCCTGGGTGTGGGGTTAAAAGGCAGGGGCCGTGGGGGAGAAAACTCCACTGAAGAGAGAACCTCCAGCCCCCAGCCGGGGTCTTGCTGCTCGGGCCAGCCACGTGCCCAGCTCCTCCCCTCCCCCCCTTTCCCGTTGCCACTGCCCCTAGGGAGAGCTGATGGGCCAGTTTCTAAAAAAGTTCCCTCAGCCCAACAATCCCTGGGATTGTGGTGTGGGGCTCTAAAGGTAGAGGTGGAAGAGAGCCCTAGTGAATTAAAAAAAAAAAAAAAATAGAGAAATCCCACATTATCGCCTCCAACCCAGGTGGATAGATTTTTGTGCACTTTACCTTATTGCTAGAGAAAAATGGTGACTGTTTTCAAAACAGCATGTCCACGTGTAGGGAAAGAGATTTTTGGCGCTTTCCATATTTCACAGCCATGGAAGAAAGGGGATGAGGGCTTTCTTTGGAAACAAATCCATTCTAGCTTCCAGATTTTCACTGGGCTCCACGTTTCCCATTACACCCCAGCTCTGAGGAAAATGGCAGGATAATTGCATGTAAAAAATTCCTCATTTGTGTGCAGGACTCAGGACTGTTTGCCAGCTCAGAGGCAGTTGATTAAATAGCCAAGCTCTACGAGGCAGCCTATAATTTGGTTTCTAGGACCTAATGCACTAGGGAAGAGTTGTTGCCCCTGAGGACTGTGAGTGAAAAGAGGGCACTGGCCCATACCAGTCAGTCGGCTCTTCTTGGTAGGCTGCTTTGGTTCTTGGCTAGAGGCCGGGGGAGGGGAAGAGAATAAAGCTGTGGGATTTTTTTTTTTTTTTTTTTTTTAATCTCACCACTCTTAGATTAACAGGAAGGTTTTGCCTTTTTGGTGTAGGTTGCACTGTTTCTTGCGGGGAGAGATGACCTCAGGCTTTGGAATTATTCATAGTGACCAGGGACATGGCCAGCACTCCGGGGTCCTGCATAATCTGTTCTAAGGTAATGGTTCTGTGGCAGTGAAGTCTCCCTTTACAAATCTGAGGGGGAAAAGAGATCCTGGTGTCTAGGAACACAGGCCTGGGCCTTTCCCAATGCAGACTTGCATCTGGTGTGGAGCTGAAATCCCCTCTAGCCTTCATAGCCTGTCAAGTCAGAACATTCCAAGTCAGCCTGAGGAAGAAAAGGCTGCTGCTGGGATTTGGTGGGGGCTGTAGATCAGGACAACACTGGAGCTTTCTGTGTATGCCTTCATCTGTTCAGATAAACCTGGCCTTATACCCAACTCCAGCTCAATCGGGGTCTCTTAGAATGTAATGGTAAACTTTAAACAATCTTTACACTACAGAATAGAAAACAAATCTGAGAAGCATCCATTTTCTAAGTGACTTGTTGGACTGTGCCTGTTCTTTGAGGAGAAAATGGTTTCCATTTTGTGCATCACTCTTCTGGTAATTGTTTGAACACTCAGGTTCCTGCAGTCCCTGGAGCCTCTTCTGTGGGTTTTCAGTCTTACAAGGTACTGTCTTTGGAGACTAGGGCTACTGGGTCGTTATCTTAAGAGAGTGAGAACAGGGTTTGGGTTCTCCTGCTGGATGACTGTTCTGTGCCCCGAAAACAGCTTCAGTGGCCTCCATTTTAAGTCAGAGGTGAGATGATCAGTTTTGACTTCAAATCCATTCTGATATTCTGGCATCATTGTTAAATGTGCTCACAATTTTTTTTTCTTTAAGGCAAGTAGACCGAAGACAGCTTTGGTGACTCCACTTCTTTTAAAGTCACCCTCCTCCACCTTCTGACTTTAAGTGACAGGGAGTTCCCTCTCCTCTCTGTCTTTCAATTCTGTGAAATGGGGATAATCCGGACCTCATGCCCCCAGAGCCTTGTGAGGACCGGTTAATGAGGGCAGGCGAGTGGGAAACGAATCATCCAAACAATGATCAGTCATTCCTTTGGGCTTGCAAAAGGGGTAAAAAGCAGGGCTCACTCAGCTGGGTCTTTAGCGGGGTCCGTAGAAGGCTTTGAATAGGAAAAGTGCTGTAGAGGTGCTAAGCAGCAGCCAACGGACCGGGCCGGCTGCCAGGGGGTCAGGGCTGGGCCGAGGCGGCCGCGGTCTCGGGCTCTGGCCAATTTTGCAGCCGCGGGTAAAGTTCACACTGCCCGCTCCCCTCGGTACGGCCGGTAGGGGACAGATCAGGATAGGGACGCCGGGAGGGAGGCGGCGCAGGCTCCAGAGAGGCGAGGGCTCCGGGCCGGGTTTTCTCCGAAGCCTTCGGCGGCGGCGCTGCCTAGCGAAAGCGGCTGAGGGCCTGCCGCCGCCGCGGCTCGTTCTCTCCCCTCCTCCTTTGTGAGGGGAAGGGAGCGAGTCCGCTCCACGGCCTGCGCCCGCTCCGCTCTCCACTCCGGGTTTGCCAGGCGGCCGCGACGGCGCTGGGTAAAATGGCAGTGCTGAGCCTCGTGTCGGAGTGAGGGGGACTCGGAGGAGAGTGGGGCGCTCTAGCCGCTCAGTCCGGCTGACCGCTTGCTCGCTTGCCCGCTGCCGCGCAGCAGCCTCGGCCCGAGCCGCGGCTGGCGAGGGGAGGCTGGGCGCCCGGCCCGGCCCGCGTTCCGACTCTGGCTCTCGGCGCCCCGGCTGCTGCCGCGCGCCCTCCAGCCCGCCCGTCCCGGGTCCCCCTCCCCCCGCTCCCTCCCTCCGTCCCTCCCCACCCCCTCCCCCTCGCCTCCCTCCCTCCCTCCCTCCTCCTTTCTCCGGCAGCAGAAAGCGGAGAGTCACAGCGGGGCCAGGCCCTGGGGAGCGGAGCCTCCACCGCCCCCCTCATTCCCAGGCAAGGGCTTGGGGGGAATGAGCCGGGAGAGCCGGGTCCCCAGCCTACAGAGCCGGGAGCAGCTGAGCCGCCGGCGCCTCGGCCGCCGCCGCCTCCTCCTCCTCCGCCGCCGCCAGCCCGGAGCCTGAGCCGGCGGGGCGGGGGGGAGAGGAGCGAGCGCAGCGCAGCAGCGGAGCCCCGCGAGGCCCGCCCGGGCGGGTGGGGAGGGCAGCCCGGGGGACTCGGCCCCGGGGCGGGGTGGGAGGGGGGGAGAAGACGAAGACAGGGCCGGGTCTCTCCGCGGACGAGACAGCGGGGATCATGGCCGCGCAGGTCGCCCCCGCCGCCGCCAGCAGCCTGGGCAACCCGCCGCCGCCGCCGCCGCCCTCGGAGCTGAAGAAAGCCGACCAGCAGCAGCGGGAGGAGGCGGGGGGCGAGGCGGCGGCGGCGGCGGCGGCAGCGGCCGAGCGCGGGGAAATGAAGGCAGCCGCCGGGCAGGAAAGCGAGGGTCCCGCCGTGGGGCCGCCGCAGCCGCTGGGAAAGGAGCTGCAGGACGGGGCCGAGAGCAATGGGGGTGGCGGCGGCGGCGGAGCCGGCAGCGGCGGCGGGCCCGGCGCGGAGCCGGACCTGAAGAACTCGAACGGGAACGCGGGCCCTAGGCCCGCCCTGAACAATAACCTCGCGGAGCCGCCCGGCAGCGGCGGTGGCGGCAGCAGCGATGGGGTGGGGGCGCCTCCTCACTCAGCCGCGGCCGCCTTGCCGCCCCCAGCCTACGGCTTCGGGCAACCCTACGGCCGGAGCCCGTCTGCCGTCGCCGCCGC